AAGCCCTAAACCCTATGAGCCCTAATCCCTAAACCCTAAGCCCTCGGTCCGAGACCCTGAAGCCCCTTAGAAGTTGGGCTTCCAGTCACCTTGGCCCTTCATGTAGGGTTTAGGGTTTAGGGGTTTAGGGTTTAGGGTTTAGGGTTTAGGGTTTAGGCTTCATGCCTACCCAAACCCCCAAAGTAGGTGAAACAATGGCCCAAGACCCATAGAAGGCTATTATTTTACATACTTTCGGAGTCCAGGTAGAGGCTCTTATGCAAGGTCTTGTTTGAGGGTTCTGGGAGCGTTTATAATGGTGGTTACAGGGGGTTTTGAAAGGGTCATGCAGGATCATTTAAGGATTTGGGGTTTTATAGGAGCCGAAATAATGGGCACCTTTATTGTTTGGGATATCCCAAAAAGTTTAGATTATAGAACGCCCACCTTCAACTCTTTGGCCTAGTTGTTTCGGCCCTAGGCTAGCTCAAGGGTCGTGGGAGTTCAGTCTCCCGTGCATGTAAACCCCTCTACTGAGTCCTGAATCCCATAAGGTTATACCTCTAGTATCCAGTGTAGTCCCGTTTTTGGTTTCACCAACTTAACATTCAGGATCCTGCAATGTAACTCAACAAAGGTACTCCGGTGGAAACTATAGGTCTTGAGGGGCTCTTTAGATTCCAATAAGGATTCCAATCTGGCTAGGGCTTTGGGTTTCGCGTTCAGGCTTCTTTGAGGGCCAGTTAAGGTTTTTTGGGGCTTTAAGGCTTGTTGAGGGCTTCGTGTTCTTGGTTTACGATTTAAGGTCGGGCTTAAGGCGTTTAACATATTAGCATCTTATGGCTAGTCTAGAATCAGCGGTCTACATTGTACATTATTGGCTCTTGCAGCCGGGCTTGTTTTAAAGTAGTCCCTATATAGGTACTTTGAGGCCAAAGTATATACTATTTGGGTACATGACCCTTTCAATGCAGGGATGTACGTAATGTACGAACCTGAAATTGGCAGAGGCGGATCCGTGACAGTTTTCAAGGTGTACTCCTAAACTATGGGGGCTGGAAGTTTCTGGGGTCATGGAGCTAGTCATAGTTAGATAGCCCAGCCCGGTAGACCTGGCATGAGATGTTAAGCCCTCGTTGAACCTGTAGCCCTACACCCTGAACTCATAAACCCCAAAACTTAAACCTTAAACCCCCAACTGTTGTGGATGTGGGGATTGGCCCCCTGCGCTCTTAGGAGTCGCGACGATTCAACGAGATTTTCCTTGAAGAGACGCCCGACGCCGATTCAGCCCCAAACCCTAAACCCTAAACCCTTAGTCCCTGAGGATTCTGGGGCTTGGGCTTAGGGAAGATCCGAGACAGGGCTGCGCATGTATATAGGCGACAGCATTCCTCAGGGTTCCTTAATTTCTTATTGATCTAAATACCCCCCCAAACGTGTTATCAGCCACACAGGATCTTCGGCCACAAAGATGGGGACTTGGGTTTGAGATATGCTTCCGCTTGCCTTCCGCTGCCCTTGTCGTAAACCTCACATGCCGCAGTAACCCTACCTGCCTGCCTGCCTACCTACCCACCTACCTACCTACCTGCCTACCTACCCATCTGCCCACCTACCTACCTACCTACCTACCTACCTACCTACCTACCTACCTACCTACCTACCTACCTACCTACCTACCTGGCTACTTACCTTACGTACACAATCACGTATATAGGTACAAACATACATACGTACACATACATACATAC